GAACACAAGCTGAAATGAGCAGTAAATGTCTTAACAAAGTTAAGTCCTCTGGACGGATTCTTCTTTGTTGAAACATTTTGACTCCTTCAGTCTGAGGAGCTGCAATAAACTCAGTCTTATAAATAGCACCTTCTCATAGTGGATCAGTCAGTTTGTTGTTGACATCCAGAACTAGCTGTGCACATGATCAAGGAGGACCATCAGCCTAACGACCAATTATTAGTTCTCTGATGGCTGCTTGTTATTCTTAAGCCCCCAGTATACTCCCGCGTACATGTGTCCGCGGGTACGTACGCGGAGGGTTGAGACTTCATGCTAGGGCTTTAACAGACTTCTCGAGAAATAAACAGGTCGATTCCTTGGACAGCTATCAAGTTTTTTCACGTCGAGTATTCACAGTGACGTCATTACGTTGCAGTTCCGTCATTGCATCGCGTGTCATGTGGTCCGCACCAAACTACTAGTAGAAGCTACCAAATGGATTCCTCCCAGCAGATGGACTGAGCGGAGCAGGTCCAGTCTTGGCAAACAGGTAGAAATGCATCAATAGTTTGAAAATATTTCACTAAAGATGAATCTTCTGGTTCAACTACAGTAAGGAAACAGAAAATGAATCAACTTCCTGACTGTTTGGAGCTCGGTGAACCGGTGTTACACCATATTCTGTGACCGCTGTATATTGTGACCGTAGGGAGCGGTGTTGCATGCACTGTTGCAGGTCACAGAATATGGTGTAACACTGGGTCCAATGACCGAACCAGAACCAGCTTCCTCTGACCTTGTTTCACAAAGTAAAAGCCAAAATATATTAATCTCTAAACCTATAAAAAACATATAAACATATTAATCTCTAAAGCTAAACCTAATGCGCACCACAGCTGGCGGTGGTGCGGGGTGGTCATCCGCCCCACTGTTTTTAGTTTCGTTTGTGTCGTGGTGCTCGTTTCTTTTACTTTTGCAGCTTAATAATAATAAATAATAGTTTTGGTTTTCCTGTGACTTATTTGCAGGATGATAAATGGTAGGAGCATAATATACTCTCACAATGTTTTGTTGTTCTTTTTTATGAAAATAATTGACGCTTTTTTGCGGTTTTATTTTTTCATCTTGAGATCCTATGACGTCATCAACTACTCGAGTTTTATTATGTTAACGTCGAGTTTAAAAATTTTGTAGTCGTTCAACCCCTACTTCATGCTTGAGCGTCCACCCTGAGCAGCTGCAGAGCAGCTCCGCAGACGAGGGGCATTTACCTTCGGGACAAATTGAGGTCGCTGATTGGTCATTTGCTAACACGCCTACTGGATTGATTGACAGGTCGGAAGAAAAAAAAACGAGATCTGGCAGCTCCAGCCGCAGCGGTGTTCTGTGTTTATATGTTGTTAATAAAAAGTTCTAAAAAAATTAAAATAAAACGGGGAGCGCTGGCCCTGCAGCCCACACATCAGATAGCCCAACAGGAAATCTCCAGACCCTCCCGCAGCCATGCTGGACCTGATTTTTAATTTGTTCGTGACAAATTCCTTGATTTCTCACCATTTCAGTCATGGCCTCAACGGAGGAGGAACAGATCTCTGCCTCTTGGAAAAAAAACAAAAGAAAAGGCCAGATCAGAGATGAAGAAGAAGAATTTAATACATTGGTGTTACATACAAAACAGTCGGTCGCAGGGCAGTTTATTGTGCAACACCACGTACGCGGTCGTACAAGTTGAGCTTTGCACGGACATGCCCTGAAAAGTATGCGCGTACCTCTGCGTACGGACGTACGCGGGAGTATACTTGGGGCTTTAGATGGCTGAGTGATACTAGCAATCACAGCATTGTAAGAGGGGGACAGTTGAACACGGAGGCCTCCACCCCTGTTTAATGATGGATGGTTTCTTTTCACAAAGATGGCTTCCTTCGTTCCACTCTATCAAGGATGTAAATGGTAAATAGACTCTACTTAGAAAGGAGATGTATATCTTATCAAGAAATATCCTGATGCATGCTTATCAAGAAGACACTCAAAGCTCTTTACAATCTGTGTCCTCATTAACTCATTCATACAGCACTCTACTACATCTGTACAAAGAGTAATCGGAGCTTTATCTCATTCATACACTGATGAGACACACATCAGAGGCCATCAGGGGTTCAGTGTCTTGCCCAGAGACACTTCAGCATGTGACTGCTGGTGGAATCAAACCCCCAACTCTCCCATTGGAGGACAGCTGCTCTAACCACTCAGCCACAGCCTCCCCTAAGATGTGAACATCTTCATCCCTGAAAGAGTGACCGCTGGCCTGGAGATGAGTGTAGACCGCAGAGTCCTGGCCTGATGATGTTGATCTTCTGTGCTGGGCCATCCTTTTGGCCAATGGTTGTTTAGTTTCCCAGATGTAAGACTGATCACCCTCCTGACACTGAGCAGCATACACAATATTACCTTTTTTTTCGGCCAATAAATCGCAGGTTTTTTTGCATAGTTTACAGCCCTGCGACTTATAGGCCGAAGCGACATATTTATGGATTTTTTCCCATATTTATAAACATTTATTGGCTGAGATATAATCATTTTCATGAGATATAATCATTTTCATTCATTCTGACTGGGAAAAAAATTTGAGCAGTACCACTTTCAGCCACTAGATGGCCTGCTGTTGTATCATGTAATAGGTAAACGTGGCTATAATGATAAATTCAAAAAAGTTAAACACAAAAACAACTGGACTTTATTTATTATACTTTGTTTTTTTTTCTTGAACTTTTTTGAATTTACCATGTCCTGGATGACTGAGAATCTTCACCAGCTATTAATGACACATCCTGATGCATGATCAATAATCCAGGTAGAAAAATCTAAAAAAGTTAAATCTGGTCCTCTGGACATTCAAAAGAACAAAACAAAGCGAATCAACAAAAAAATGTAGAAACGTTTCGTCTCTCATCCGAGAGACTTCCTCAGTCTGAGGAGCTGTATTCAGCTCAGTCTCTTAAATAGCACCTTCTCAGAGTGGATCAACCAGTTTTGCTTTTGATCCACTCTGAGAAGGTGCTATTTAAGAGACTGAGCTGAATACA